AGAAGTGTTAAGTGGCTTGGGCACTCTTCCACTCCGTTACTTCAGGAAGGAAAAGACTCTTCAAAAACTTCCCAACGGGCGAAGACTGAGTGGTGCAAGGACATATCAGAGGCTCGTGAGGTTCTTTACTACAATGGACGTTTCGCCAGCACAGTTCAGGACTAAAGCTGTGGGGAGGCTATCCGAGCTGTATAGAAAGGTATGAGGGAAACTGATATCTTGAGGATATATATATATCACTTCATCATCGTATGCGGGGGTGGGGTGGGGGGGAGTAGATAAACCCTTTAAAAGAATGAAAGACTGGTAGTTTTATAGGCTGACCGAGTGATGGATTGACATACCGAGCAATGTAACAAAATTACAGAATGACAGACCGTGACAAGGATCTGTCAGACACACAGACCGACAAACCGATAGACCAACAGACCGAAAGACTGACAAACCGGCTGGCCGACAGATCTACAAACTCGGAGACTGACAGACCAAACGACAAACTGACCGTCGGACTCAAAGACTGACAGATTGTCAGATAGACATATTTGCGAATTCATTTGCCGGCGACAAAGCGTCAGATTGACAGGCTGACTTTGTCAACGACAGAGTGGCAGATTGAAAGGTTGAAAGAATGATATACACGTCGATGAGAGACCGATGGATTCAAACCCACGAATGATCTGTTTGATTAGCAGCACTGATTTAGAGACCAGTGATCATGATAATTGATTGACTCAATAATTAGTGTCTCCTTACCTGACCAACTGCGGCTATTCTCGTTTTTTCCACAGGTTGTCAATCTTGCCAAGTTGTACACAAAGGAGCAGGATAAAAATGTCGCTATCAGCAAGTTCAAAAAAGTGCTACGGAATTCGGATCAGTGGTTCAACAGTCAGGCGTTTCCTAGCAGCGAGAGTGGTGACGACGCCTTCGTTAAGTGCCATGACACAGCAAGTGCGCAGGCCCATTGCCCCGAGCGGTGGAAAGCTTTGCAATCGTGGATTAAAAACACTTACAATGTAAGTATAGTTATTGTTTATTTACTACTTCGTGGTCTAAGACGCGTATATTAACCTGGCAATTTTTCATTTTTTTTCGCCCGAAACATTTTGTGAAGATGATACTGAAAAATAGCGTGTTTTCTCTAATTTTATCGTCAAGAGTCCTATGGAAGGTGATATATTTTAACTGTGCAGTTTCTAGGGCACACATTCCTTAATTTAACTCACAAATATCATTTTCACGTTATTTAGGAACTGTAGACTTACCTCCAATAGTCGCTAAATGTATCAGATGTCAATAATTCCTCATACTTCTTTGTTAACCATTAGAATGAAAGGTGTATGAGCTTTTTCCAAGTCCGAGTCAACTGCTTCCATTTAAAGAGCCAAAGGTGATAAAATCAAATTCATTTTTTGTCTGCTTGGACATACTAGTACTTTTACCGAACAGTCCTTTACTTTCACCTCGTAACAATCTTTGCCATTGCAGGTCATGAAAACAAAAGTAAAACCAGTCATCAACCCACTCTTTCATAGCAGTGGTCATAAGAAAACCGTCCCTGCCTGTTCATTGGAGGTCACTGGAGATTTCCATCCTTTTGTCAGCTATCATGCCTTCGGTGTTGGATCCAAGGATTGCACAGACAAAAGCAAACAATATCTGCCATTTTTTATGGACAATTTTGGTCCAAAATGGACGGAATATACCACAACAGCCCACGAACAACTTCCTGGACACCAACTGGAGGTTGGTTATGTTTAGCTTGTTATTGACTTGAGTGGAATCTTTCTAACAACTTCTCTACCTTTTGTCTTTCAGCATAGTAACTGAGATACACACCATAAGAAAATTGAGTAGAATATAATTTTATTAGACGCATACCTGCGTGTACTCAGGCGCTTGTAATTGTTAAATCTAGGCGCGGTTTCCAACAAAGCTACACTTGAGATTTTTTCGCGTTTTTTCTAAAATGATCAGAATCAAACATCTGTGCTTTAACTCGATACGTTCAGAGTTATACTAAGTATTTTGAAGACAGCTGCAAAGATGTCATTCATTGGCTAGTAGCCGTCAACTTCTTCCTTAATGACACACTATTTACCTCTGAAGGTTCAGAGTTACACGGAGTATTTTCAGGACTGCTGCAAAGATCCGATTCATTGGTTGGGAGCCAGTAACTTCTTCCCAGGGTTCACCGAGGGCTGGACAACTTACATTGAATACGAATTGCTGCCTCGAGATTCGAATCTTTATTCAGATACATCAGACAAAGAAGTGTTGCTACAGAAGTATGGCATGCTCTACTACCAGGTAATTTTGGGAACGCAAAGAGAGAGGTTCATAAATGAAAGGGGGTAAGGAAGATACGACAAAGCTGTGTCTCCAAGTTTGGAGGACTCTGAAGTCAGTCTTCCGGAGAAATATTGAACACTTTGAATGGAGAGAGTGAATCTGACCTACGATCTTAACAGCCTAAATAATGAAGTTGTTGCCAAGAGTCCATGCGGTCTATTTGTTGAGTTGTGAAATAAGCTTATTTCCCTACCATGGTTTCAATGAAACTTTTCAGAGAAACATGGATGAAAAACAAATACGAAGGCCCTCGAGAAGCGTGCGCTGTTGTTTAATTATTTGAAAGACCTGTGTTGACCTATAGCTATAGCGCATTGTAAGATACTGCCCATTCAATTTTCCATGGTCCTATGTAATGATTAGAGCCGTCAAGAACTCCCTTAGTCCAACCCAACGTACCGACTTAAACATATTTAGACCGGAAAATATTCTTTTTGCATTCCATTCGAAAAACAGAACTCCATGAGGCATTTCTTACGTTTGTCAACAGATTTTGGCCGCTCTTCGCATCATTGTTGACATCGATCTAAACTATTACAAGAAGACAACTTCTAATGCACTGCATCTGTACAAGCTTTACGCCTGGGAACATGATACGGACCTAGCACAAAAAGACATCTTGAGATCACAAGCCCTACCAGGATTTGTAGCCAGCTACGTGTTTGGTCAAATGGAAATCTCCCGCGTCAGGAGCATAGCCGAGAGAGGGCTAGGTCGAGATTTCAACTTGAAGGATTTTCATTACGAGGTGTTACGCCAGGGGGAATATCCCTTGGGGTACTTAGAGGAGCATATAAGGAATTATATTGCTTGTAAGAAAAACCCCGATCGCAATGAATGTAAAGAGTTTTAAAGTTTTAAGTTGATAGTCTGATCTATGGGTAACAATTATTCAAAGCGCAATTCTGATTGAATGGGAATAAACAATTCAAAGCTTTATTTGGACATGTTTCAGTTTATTGAAGGCCTCTAACTTAACTAATTTAACTCGTTATTAACACGCCTTTTATCTTTGGAGGGTAAGAGTCATTGAGAGTTCTCAGGAAATTTTGATAACCATCTTATACTGTTTGGAAGCCTACAATTATTTTCTCGAGTTTACCGAAAACCAAGAAACCAACATACCTACTACTTTTTTGAGATGCGAGCAAACGATTTTAGTTGAAAAACGCAATAAAAATCAGCAGATTTTGTTACGTGAAATTAATCCTCCGAATTAAGTTTTTTTTGTTAATTTTAAAGCAGTACACAACATGATACATGGATGAAAAAGAGAATTTCAAAGTTTGCGTTAGAAAGAATTCAACAAGCCAAAGTTTACCTGTAAATATATCATCTAGGGCTTACAGATTGACATAAATGTTTATTCAAATTTATATAGATAAAATTTGAAAAGGGAAGTTTAGAGGTTAACCCTATAATAAAACTTTCCTGAAAAAAAAATATCTATAACTATATACAGAACAAAAATATAAATATTATGAAAAAAAAATTAATTCATAGTTTTAAAAATGATTTAAGTCTTATTTAAAAAGTTCAAGTTTCCCGCTTCAACAATGCTCTTAATTAGCTAAACTGTTCCAATCTCTAATCACTCTAACAAAAAATGAATGTTTAAAACAGTTGATTCAGGCTGATTTTAGAAAAAGTTTATATGAGCGGTTGGCTCTAGTGGAATTGACTTTTGCGAATTCAAAATATTCCTCAAAATCAAGATGGGACAAACCAAACACAATCTTGTAACACTCCACTAGTCAGAAATATGTTCTACGAGTGGACAACAATGGCCAATTTAATTTGTTACATCGGTCCACGTAGGGAATATCGCCTCTTTTCTGCCTTAGAGCTTATCTTGGCGCGCGTCTTTGCACGTTCTCGAGTCCGCGTTTTACTAGTCCCCGTTTTACTAGTCCGCGTTTTACTAGTCCGCGTTTTACTAGTCAGCGTTTTACTAGTCGAGTCCAGTCCAGTCGGCGAAATACCATATGCTCTAAAAGAGGTGTAACCAATGATTTATAAAGCAGTGAAAAGGTTCTAATATTAGCTGTGCCAACAGACCGTTCTATAAGCCCTAGGACCTGTGATTGGCCTTGTTCACCAAGGTACCGCGTCTTTCACACGCGCGATTACATTTTGTTATCTAAAAACACTAGCAAGAGGCTCTTTCTATAGCCAAGTCATCCCTCCTAAAAGTTCTATAAACGACACTGGCAATGATTTCTGAAGAGGAATAAATATTGACTGGCTCGGTAGACATGTCAAAATGCATACTTAACGTAAACTTTTTTTTGAACGACGTCACTCTTCAAGAAGTTTTACAAAGCACGGGAATCGCACTGTTTAGGTCCATTTATTGACTTTTTCTTAACTCATAGTAGACCCTGCGATAAAAAAGATAAGCAGGGAAATAGTTTTTCAAAGAAATATTGGAAAATCACCATGAATTTGAATTGGCAGGATTGACAGATCTGGTTCCCTACTGAGTAACACATATTTTCAGTTGTTCATATGAATAAGAAATACTAAATATGACAAATATGACAATGTCTCTCTCAGATGAGCGAGTTCTGTGTCTTCACTTAATGTCCAAATCCGCCAGAGGTGAATGAATAATAAAGCTGACTCCATAGTGTCTGCCTGGTGGCAGGGCATATTCTGCTTATTTAGGAGACAAAGTTGAATTGTTGTTAGACATTTGGAGCCGCCGATCGTATTGAATGGTCAGAACAAGGTAAAGTGCCCTTGATATTTAAGTACCTTTTTTAATTTCTTTACCTTTTTCAGCCTAACAGCGTAAAAAATACCAGTCCTTCTTGAGTGCGAATTGTTGAGAAGGAAGAGCTGCTTGAACAATTCTAATTGTGACTAAAGTTAAAAAGTTCGGGGTTCATTAAAGGAAATCATCGACAACATTATATGACTCATCCGGCCCCACTCGCGCAATCCCATATAAAACCATTTTGAAAGTTGACGTGTACTGGGGCCAGTTTCTCGAAAGTCCCGGTAAAATAACGGACCCGAAGCCATATTTTAAAATCAATGTTTTAAAGGATAAGAAAGCAAGTTCGGGAACCCAAACCAGTCCTTTTTGTTTCTTCAGCTAATAGTTTTGTTGTATCATTTTCAAAACGTTTTAAATCCACATCTTGAATGAGAACAGAACAGCTTTACGGGCCCGTTAAGTTACCGGGGCTTTCGAGAAACGGGCCCCAGGGCCGGATGGATTGACGTGAGCCGGTTCAGAAAAAGAGCCGTTTGGCCCTGCTTCCCTCACGTCGCTTTGTTGCAAAAGCTTACAGGAAAACAGAATTGAGAAAAAAAAATTGTGTTTTTCAACGGATTAGGAGTTTCTTGTTCTGATTCGAAAAAATAAAGGAAAAGTTACAATTCTGGAATTTTTTTGTGCTCGTGTAGATGCTTGTGCCCTTTTGTCGGGTCAAATTTATTTAGGTTGAAAATTTTCACACTTCGTGGTCATATGATAAAGTGCTCAATGACTGAGTTTAGTCGGGCCGGACGAGAAAATATTTGGTTCTCGGTCATGAGGCACGGACCTCGCTGCGCTTTTTCCGTCCGTCATGACCTCGAACCAAACATTTTCCCGTTCAGCCCTCTGACTCAGTCAATAAGTACATAGTAGGGACTTTAACCAAACCACGACGGCGACGGCAACGAGAACGTGGAAAAACAATAGATCTAATTGGCAGAATAATAGCCCAGCACGTGCGTTTTCAAACTTTATACATTTCGTTGCCGTCCTTTGCAAAACAACAACGTGAAATCACCAAAATTCGCGCCGTCTGCAAACCGAAACCTCGGCGGCAAATTATTTTAATTTACATTTGGAACTCAACGCTACTTTAACGCGTTATGTTGAGTTTGAGGTCTGGCGCCCTATGAGACGGTAAACACATGCAGCCATTTTCGAATTCTAACTAAAAGTAGAGACTAATTTTTTAGTCGACGTCTTCCGTGGCGTTGCCGTCCTGACTGCTTAAGTTCCCTAACAACAGACAAATGAGCGACGTTTAGTACTGACAATCTAAAATGCTCTCAAAGCAATTTTAATGCGCTTTGTTGCACATGCCCCAGTATTTCAAACAACTTTGCAATTTTGCGTTAAAGACACTTAAATAGCGCCAAACTAACACTCCCTATGCTAAACGATATTAGCATATTCAAAAATTCGTCTCCCCATACCTATCACAATTACCCAGTACTTTTCCTTCCTATTTAGATGAGGCTGGCGATGCAGCTTTTTCGTTTCCTTGGTTCAGCGATTTTCCTCCTCGCTGTAGTGAAAGGTACAGTCCAATTTCTATGAGGCAGTCATCCTCGGCAAAAAACAAGATGATCGCTCGATTGCAGCGGACCGATTAACAGAGGTCCACCACAATTTAGAGAGTGATAATCGAGGCAAAAAGTGACCTGGAGAACAGACTTGATGACACAATTTACATATTTCTTTTTTTTGCTAACAACTATTATAATAGTAACTCCAGATATATTACATCATTGTCGGGTCGAGCGAGCTCTACCTTATGATAACCCGTAACCAAAAATGAACGAACAATTTATTACGCAGACCAGCAATTCTCGACTGTAAGTTAACAAGGAAGCCGTTTAATAATGGAGAATTACAAAAGAATCAGGGCCCCTGTGACTGTTTATGGCCGGAAATGATTTTTTATATAATTTCTTTTTCAGACCAAAAGTCAAGGCTTTTTAGTTTCTCGTAGAGACTTATCGCTCAGAGGCAGTTACCACTTGTTGAAAAGCAAAGGAACAATTAATGTTTAACTTAATGATTATAAATAAGGACTCTCTATAATATTGAAGTGTGCGTCGTGGCAATCGCTATGTTGACGATTGATCGGAGAATTTTGGCTCAGTTTCTCAGATGTCCTCTTTTTCATACCAAAAATTCCAAAATTTACGTGAGCATTTAAAAATAGAAGTGTTTTCACTGTGATTTTTACTTTCACAGCAATAAACGCTCTTCGATTTCCCCCACAAAAAGTACAGGACGGTGATGGTAAGGTGACAGTCCTTTTGGACACCTTATATAAATAACCTTTATCATTCTTAAAAAGGCAAATCGACACTTAGTGCACATGGACGCCGATGAGGATGGCCAGTGGTTTCATTGACTATTGTTAACATGGTGCACGACAAAAGCTGGAGTGAAACCGTTATGTTGAGTAGAGACCGGGAAATGGAGTGAAGAGTTCTTCTCTCTTTCTGAAACATAAACATCCCGTATAATCCTTAATTGTGAACTGAACCTGCTTGTAGTTTAACCAACATGAATAATTCCTTGCTAGGATATATTAAAGATGTGATTCTTCTGTTTTCTTCTGAAGCTTCATCAGACACGTCGTCATGTCAGCCATCAGCTGAAGCCACGCGCTCCAAACTCACAGAATTGTTAGCTGAGATACAACAAACCTTTTTCTATCAGCTTCACCCAGAGAAGATTTCAGGGATGGTTGAGGTAACGCCCGAACTAATAAGAGAGCATTTTCAACCCTTCGATCCAAGTCCGGAGGCCATGAAACGCAGAACTGACAAGGCCTTGGAACTGCGTCGGAGACTAAACGATTTGCAGATCGACACGAAGAAATTAAAGCTGAGAGAGCGTAAAGCCATTCACGTGGCTAGTGATGTTCTATTAGCCCAGGGCTGGGATCCATACGGCGTGGATTATTACTCTGGAGATTGGCTTTTGGGACCGAACTTGTTTTGCTGGCAACCTGTTTGCCAGGTGTTTGGAAATTTGGACAGTGTTATTTCTCACTTCAAACCAGACGATTTGAGCAAGTTAGAGAGACTGAAAACCCTTTTCGAGGATTACCGTCAGGTATTTGAAAGATACGTGGAAAACTGGAAACTTGGAGCGCGGTCAGGGTATCTGAGACCATATAAAGCTTGTAAAGCCGCTGTATTCACTTTGAAATACGAGAAATACAAAGACATGACAATGGATGGTGAATCAGGTTAGTAGTGGGCCACTTCACGATTATCTTTCATAAGAAAAGCAAACCATTTCGTTTTATAACATAGATCATGTAAAGCGTGCACTCTGATTGCTCACTTCAGTGTCTATTATTTGCCCATGGGTGTACGTTGCTGACGGGAGCAAATGTTTCCAAGTAAGCATATGTTTGGCAAGAAGTTGTTTTTTATCATGATGTTATAAAACAAATGGTTAACACCGCAGCGTACACTGTTAAGTTATAGATGCACTTGGGAGGTTTGCCAAGCACTCAAGGAGCTAGAGTCGCTCTCGCCTATCACATTGAATGACTCTCGCGTGCATACATAACTCAGTAGTGTACGCTGTGGTGTTTACCATTTGTTAAATAATGCCAGCGCTAGATCCTTTACGAAATTACCAAACTTGTAAACAAATTGGATAGATTTGTCACAGGGACCGCCGAGCTGACTCACCCCCCGGAAAAGATATTCTTGTTCTACAAATCCATAGTCAGTGACCCAATTGATCGTTTCTTCGGGTAGCACCGAATCCCTCTCAAATCCATCATCCATCAAGAATTCACTTGTTGCACTTCATATTGATCAATCTTCTTTATCTTTCTCTTCTGAAAGGAATTCACAACTAACCCTTTGCCAAAACTCTTTTAAAATCTGGCTTCTTCGGGAAAGTTTCCAAGTCTGTGAACGATACCTGGGAGGAGAAATACCAGAAGAATGTGAAGGAGTTTTTCGAACATTCTCTTGTGGAGAATATCGCAAAGCCAGTTGTGAGAATGCTAAGGTACCTGATTGCACGTTGATACACTTGTTACATATTGCGAGACAAATTACAATAAATTCACTTGCACAGTTTTTAAATGAAATAAATTTTATTGGACCTGCAAATGAAAATTAAGCAAAAAAAGGTGAGCTGCAATGTAAGCAAATAAAAAGAAGAATCCTTAAAAAATTCAGGCTCCGACGGAATTTAAGCCCGCACCTGCGAAACTACAACAACTGAACTACGTAGCCACACAGCTTCCCCTATGGTAAAGAAAGACCCTCTAAAATTTGCCTCGCTTCAGGCTTCGTGGCTCAGTTGGTTGTAGCGCCCAACTAGTATCTAGGAGTCGTGGGGTGGAATCCAGTCAAAGCCTATATCTTTTCAGCTTCTTTTCTACAGTTCTTTAAATTGCATAATTTTTTTGGATATATCAACAAAGTTGAAATGGTAAATTGGCCACCGTAACGATTACAAAAGCTGACGTTTCGAGCGTTAGCCCTTCGTCGGAGCGAAATTCCATATTAGCCCAGCTTTGAAGTTCTTTTCTTTGCTCGAAATCAATTCTCAAAAGAAAAAGGAAAAAAATAGATCGGAAGTGGTACATTAGAGGAGAGTTAGATTATTATGACTTAATTACATTTCTTATAGACTAGGAGAACACTGAAAACAATCGTTAAGAGAGCGACGTGCATTCCATTTTAGTTGCAACATTGAGACTTTGGCTGAGAAAACAAACGCCAGTGCAAGTTGTCGAGTGGTCTTCACTGAAATGAATATAACTTGTGGCCTGAAAGGCCTTGAATTATGTAAATAGATAATGAACAAAAACTATCTAAAAACACGCTCGCCCAATCGACAAAGCCGATTCCCTCAATGGGCGAGTGGTTACAGATATTAGATACGAACAGCACAGATACAGCTCATACGTCAGCCACTTAGGATCCTACCGAAACATTTTCTCAATAGATATCTTGAGGATGAGTACTTGTGCAACTGCCCTAATCAGGAGCATCTCTTGAGTGGTCTTGGAAAGCTTCCCCGCAAATACAGTATGAACCAAAAGACTCTTCAGGAGCTCCCCACCGGAGAGAGACTGAGTGGTCCAGAGACGTATAAGAAGATTATGAGGTTCTTCACATCAAGGGAGATTACACCAAGCAGCCTTAGGGGAAAAGCTGTTGAAAGACGCGATGAGATGTACAGAAAGGTCAGAGGGACAAAAATAATTAATACTAAATGGATGATATCAACTGGATGGACTTGAATGCTACTCTCGAATTAGTTTTTTCTTTTAAAATGAATCCATTGATTGACTGATTGAGTAATCCCTGAACTGAATGGCTGAATACAGGCATGATTGACTGATTGCCTGAGTGACTGTCTTGTTGAATTACTGACTGACTGACTGACAAACTATATGTCTGTCTCACTGATGGAGACAACCATCAGTGAGACAGACATATAGTTTGTCAGTTAAATCCATCATTCTTAAAAACTTCAAATTACTTCAAAACGATCCAGATACAAGCACTATCTTTTCGCAGCCTCCGCTCATTTCATTCAAACGCGACAAAAACTTNTTAATCCCTTGCACTTCATAATCTCATGCTAACCTCTACCCTCTTCTAACATTTAGTTATCACACAATGTATATTTTATTAGGAAATACTAGTCATTTCCATGCTCCTATCCTCAAGATCACGAGGAGGAAGGGTACATAAATTAATAACTTGCATAACTTGCACTTATTGCAAAAAGATATACATCGGCGAAACAGGCAGAAGACTAGGTGACCGATTCCGAGAACACCTTCGAGACGTGGAAAGGAATGACAAGGACACATCGAAACCAGTCGCTAGACATTTTAATTTACCTAATCATTCTAAGCAACATATGGCAATCTGCGGTCTTTCCTTGCACTTAGGTGGCACGGAAAGCCGTAAAAATCTTGAACAAAAGCTCATCTTTCAAACCGGCAGTCTAAATCCCACAGGGATCAATGAACGCTTTTCATTCCACTAATTTATTCATGTTTTTCTCGTTGCCATGCACCCACCAATAACGTAGCTCCATTTTCTGCCTTTAAAAGCACACACAACCCACAATTCCTCTATTCGCTCCGACGAAGGGCTAACGCTCGAAACGTCAGCTTTTGTAATCATTACGGTGGCCAATTTACCATTTCAACTTTGTTGATATATCCAAATTATTTCGTTACTCCCACCGACGCAGCCCCAAACAGTTTCTTTCGAAACTATCAGCCTTTATTCACTGATGGACGGACTGACTGACTGACTGACTGACTGACTGTGAAATTATCTGAGTAAATATCCAAGCGATCTTCGCGGTAATGAACACTTCTTGAGCAGTAGTGAAAATAAGGCCCGGTATCACAAACGTCTTGATAGTCATTTCTTTAACCGCAATTCACATCTATGATTTTCATATATTCACAGTCGTCATTAAAACTATCTAACTGTCTGACATGACGGATGGGCTGACTGAATGATTGCGTGATTGGCGGAATGACTCACTGCAAGCATCACCGACTGATTGCCTGACTGAATGTCTGGTTGGCTAGCTCACTGACTGACTGAATTACTGACTGACTGACTGACTGACTGACTGACAAACTAAGTGTCTGTCTGACGGATGGACTGACAGATTGACTGATTGCCTGACTTACTGACTGTCTGGTTGGCTGACTCACTGACTGACTCCGGCAGCTGAATTACTGTCTGATAAACTATCTGACTGTCTGACAGATAAACGGACTGGCTGACTGACTGAATGACTGAGCCATGAGTTGTTAATTCAAGTTTGATTTTATCATGTATTAGGTTACCATCAAACAGTTGCAAGTATCGGGGAACGTTACATTTGATAATAAAATTTTCTTTCGTATTTTCCGTAGGCTGTTGAGGTGGCCAAGCTGTATACTGAAGAAAAGGAAGAGCACGTCGCTGTCGATATGTTCAAAGAAGTTCTCGGAAGTTCTAACATGTGGTTTAACAGTGAGTCTTTTCCTATCGACGAGAGCGACGAAGATGCTTTTATAAAGTGCAGGGACACAGAAAGTGCGAAGAAGTCTTGCCCCAAGCGGTGGGAAGCTATGCAAAAATGGATGAAGAACACCAAAGACGTAAGTTGTTTGATTAACTCCTACTCTCTGTGGAGAAGTTATCCTATCAATCTAACTCAGTTTATTAAAAACTGGATCATTGGATAATGCAATTCAAGACTTTTTATTGGCTTAGCCATTATGGTATATTAGCCAATATACCATAATCTACAAATATGGTAAGCGTACGCGTCAGCTTAGAATTAAAAGGGAGCTAAAAAATTTAAGATTTGGTAAAATTTGTCTAATATCTTGGGGGCGTTTTTAATTTAATAAAACAATTATTTCACTCGCGCGTGTTGGATATAAGATGATTATAGCCAACTCGGCGTTACGCACCTCGTTGGCTATCTATCATCTCATATCCAACGCGCACTCGTGGAATAATTGTTAAATATACCGTTACTACCGTTGGAACAAATTTATCCCCTTTCAGTTCACGAGAGCAGTTTTTTTAGTTATGGTATTTATTGCCTTGCGCCTTTTCCCGACTGTGTCAAGGGTTAAAAGTTAAAAATTCAAACTTGAATCCAAAGAATTACTGGATAATTACATGTGTCGGAATAAAATCTGTGGAAGATATTCCACTTTCATGCAGTGTTCGATCGAGCATGCTCACTTTAATATGTTCACCAATAAGGAGACATGAATGAGCAGCACGTCTTCTCCAAAAGTCATGGCCAATTAGTGTAGGTAACCATAAATGACTTAGATTAGAGTCTTGGATCTGCCCCCTGTAAACTGCCTCTATATTGCAGACCATGACGAACCACATCACACCGTTGCTTGCGGCCAACTTCTATAGCAGTGGACCTAAGAAAACCATTCCTGTTTGTGGGGTAGACCTTTATGCATGGTTCCAGCCTTCTGCCAGCTACCATGCATACGGTCCAGGAGCAAAGGACTGCTCATGGAAAGGTAGTCAAGTGCTACCGTTTTTCATGGACCGATTTGGCCCAAAGTGGACGGAATATACCACTACAGCTCATGAGCAAATGCCCGGACATCATTTGGAGGTTAGTAACTTTCGTTAAATCTTTACGGTTTCTTGTTGAATTTTGATTAGTGAATAGTTAGGTAAGTCTCAACAAGAATCGAAACATGAATGCTAGTGAAATTAGAAGAAAAGATAAGTGAGCTTTTTAAAAGTAGAAACCCATGTTCAGCTGTCTCCACTATGTTAGGCCTCTACAGTATGACTACAGCTGACAAGATGCCCCGTGGTGTTTCCCCAACAAGTAAATGATAGTTACCCAAAGGTGATTTATTTTTACTTGTAGTCGAGCGAATAAAACTTCAGTTATCAGACCAATTGGTTAGTAAACGAAAATATAAGTGTATATTGGCCCCCCAAAAATATTTTACTGGGATCGGATGAGATGGTCTATCACAAACTATACCCCCTAATGACACACTATTTACCTTTGCAGGTTCAGAGTTACACGGAGTATTTTCAGGACAGCTGCAAGGATCCTATTCACTGGTTGGGAGCCTACAATTATTTCCCAGGTTTCACCGAAGGCTGGACAACTTACACCGAGTACCAGCTGCTGCCTCAAGACACGAACCTCTACTCTGATACTTCCAACAAGGAGGTTTTACTGCAGAAGTACGGCATGATTTACTACCAGGTAATTATGTGCAAACGAAACAAAGGGCTCAGTCAGCGAGGTGCAATTTTGTAACCTTAACTAATGTGTAAAAGCTCAGATAAATCGTTCACATTTCTTACAAGAACACGAGGAATGACAAAGAGGTGGTTCCTTTCAGTTCTGGGGTGGCCCAAGCTCTCCTGGGTCTGGTTTTAGGGCTCACTTAGTGGACGAGAATGTCGTGAGAAGAAAAGACCAACGAGATAAGAGTTTGACCTGCAAAGGTTGATCGTCACTCGGATACAAGCCTAAAGTCAAGCACACAATCCAACGTATAGCCTGTTTGAGGCCGTTCAGTTAATAAAAGGGAGTGAAATAGTAAACGGCACGATAGAGCAGCGGAGCGAAAAAGACGAGGGAGGCTTGAGTGTCGTCGCGCGACCCGACTCAGACTTCCATCGTATTTTCACTCCTCCGTTCCTGGATCCCACGGACGCGCCGTTTACTATCTGAACGCCTAAGACAGGCTAGTCATCGCAATAGCACTTGGATCATCCTTATATTTGTAGTTTATGAGAGCCTCCAGTTAGAATGTTTGTGATTCTACACCTTTCTGCATCTCAGTAATTGGCAAAGTTTCGTTAGGTCGTTGTAATTTGCACTTGATATTGTTAAAATGCTTCGTTGTTATCACACAGCTCTTGGCCGCTCTGCGCGTTATTGTCGACATCGACCTAAACTATTATCAGAAGTCAGTGTCCGATGCCCTCCACATGTACAAACAGTACGTATGGGAGGACAACACGGACCAGGCAAAGAAAGATATCCTCAGGTCGGAAGGCTTGCCGGGACAGGTAGCCAGCTATGTGTCTGGTCAATTGGAAATCTCCCGCCTCAGGAGTTTAGCGGAGAGGGAGCTGGGTCAAGACTTCGATCTAAAGGATTTTCATTACGAGGTGTTACGTCAAGGGGAAATACCCTTGAGATACTTGGACGAGCACATACGGGCTTATATCGCCTGTAAGAAAAACCCGTCTCTCGAGGAATGTGGAGAATTTTAAAATGATCACTAACTGATCTGATCTCTCACTAAATGAAAAGAGAATTGAGGTACTGTTGGATGAAAATAAAGGAGAGAGAAAACATAAAGTTGTTTGAGCAATTCTTAGAAATATCGATCGAGCGAGTGGAGAACTCTTGTTAATTGTAACTGCTGTTGAATAGTCTACTTTAAATAGACAATGAAGAAGGAATGACGCACTAGAATCCAGCGGCAGTAGTTGCAATTTATGCCTTGTTCTCAACTTGGATAAACCGAATTTTTGTTTGTCTATAATACTCATTTGGAGCTTCCCAAAGTGCGAGAATCGATCAATCTCTTGCTGGCAGAAAGTTTACATTTGAACATAGCAAAACAAACCTAAACCAAGTATAATCCACCCTCTACCCTTTCTCTTTTCTCAGATCCATGCATGCCTTTTATCCAATGACGTGCTCTGTGATCCGTGATAATCTAAGCTGTTCGCCCCTTTACTTCTTCTTTCTTTGCTTAGAACTGTGTCTGTTATCCTGTGATGAGATCTGATGTAATATACTATAGTTAGTGTTATGGAGTTAGCGGCAGACGTATTCACGCTGCTGAAAGGACTTTTGTAAGGCTGTGACGTAACAATATTTGTTTCCACTGTTGCCTGGATGGTATCACTGTCATAGATTAAACAAACCCACGCGTACATGTGTCGGCATATTACGTGGGAATAACCTGTGATGATTGTGGTTTTCAGTGCTCAATTGCGTCATGGATTCTAAGAAAGTATTTTTAGATTGTTCACCCAGACTGAAATAGAAACAGCTTCTGTGTAAAATGTTTACATGGTCAGCCTGAGCCATGGTCAGTGAGCCTGAATGATAAACTTTAACCGCGATAATAGCAATATGCTTGCATCACATCTGGAAATATGCTTGCAACAACGGCATGTAGTAAAGATGGACCGACCCAGGTTGATCATTAACCACTGCCACAATTGGTTGGAAATTAGACAATGGTTTATCCTTTGCCTTGGGACAACTACAGAACGTCGAGTGAAAGTCATACCTATGATTTTCTATGTAAAATTCTTTTAAAAAAGCAATTTTTGTCGGAAAAAACTAATCTATCTCTAATTCAATTCCGATCAAGATAAAAAACAAACTCATTCGCATGAATTTACAGGTGTTGTGTAAATCAACTCCGGACCAAGGATCAAGCTGTTGATCCAGTTTTGATTTCCCATCTTACCCACTTTAGACTGAAATAGTATTCCACCGAAATAGTTGACATATGCATTGCTAGTTTTGAGTAATCTTTGATTCTGAAAGAACATGTTTTTGTTCGTTCCCAAATTAGCATAGTTAGGAAAGAACTTACATCAACTTCCGTTCCATCTGCATTGTATGACGCTTGAATGACGTCTGTACTATTTCCTCGAGTACGTCCTCTGTTGAAATCTGTTCATGTCAATCCAATTTAATGGAATATATCATCAAAAAATATGAAAAACATGTACCCAATTTAAGATTATCCACAAGTGTTAAGTATACACTTCTGACATCTTTGTGTATTCGTAGCTGATGTCTTGAAGGAACTAGTTAGGCCATTTAAAACCGCAGATTACTTAGTAAACAGTTCTCTATACCGCTAAGGCCTATCAAATAGGAAAAAATTTCAGTAAAAGACCTGTAATTTACTGATTGAAGTTCGTTTAGGGCCTGTGCCAAGACTTGACACTTGCCTTAATATCAAGAGGACGCACGGGTTCTTGACAAAGCAAAATGAAACCATTCAGGAATATCGTTGCATTTGTTATGTTATCGGGGTAGAAATAAATCTACACCAACAGAAAACGCTGGTAAAATGTAAAATAATCAGTCAAAGTGATTTTTGTTGAACTTTAAGCGGGTTAAACTACGATAACCTCAAAACTTTATTGCGTCAGTAGAACAGCTTATTTCTCGTTGAAGAATATCAAATTAAGAAAAAAAAGGATTAGACGTTTCGTTTCACTAAATCAAAAACCTACTCACCGATCATTTGATTTGGATAAAAAAAAAAAAATAATAATAACAAACGGCAATTAATCAGCAACACTTTTTCTTTTTATTTATTATTGTAAGTGAGATGGCTCTCCCATAAGCCCGGTGGCTTCTTGGGTCTCCTCGCCTTCTAACTGTTATCGCTGTAATTAAATAATTTTAATGTTAAAATAAGGCAAATAAAAGATGATGATGAATTAATCGTGAGAATCTTTGTGCCGGTGTATGCTTACGTGATGATTGTCACCCTTGTAGCGGAGCATCAACTAATCGTGACGTCATTTAACAGTTTAAACGTCAGACAACACAAATGATAAGCAAAACCTTATTGACTGTCTGTTTTCAATTTTGATAAGACACGGGATGGTTAAAAAAAAACAAAAAACACACGAAATAGTCTCAATAAAAACTTGCGTAGAGTAATATAAAGATAACACGATATCTATATTCCACGTGTTTTTCACTTGTGCGAGTTGTCTATGCACGAAAATGAAATCTTCTTAATTTTGGATCAGTTTCCACAAAGAAGTAGTTGTTTTTTTTTTTTTTTTTCCCGTGATGGATTTCTGCCAGTCCAGCTGTTTTCGATGTGTTTCAGGAGAATTACGCACGCATACCGGAATCAAAATTATGCATGGGCCGTGACAAAAATCAATTCGCATTTGAAAGAGGAGGTTTTCTGTAGAAATTTTTATCTTGACGTCAATTTTTCCGTGGCTTTTTGAAAGAAAAATATAACTAGTCCCTTCGATTTGAAGGAGATTTTTTTAAGGGCAAAACTTGGCTAGAACGACATCACTTGATGGACTTGATTATGACAGTTGCCAAGGGAACTACGAAGAGCGCGCATGTAGGCACAACTTTCCCTCGAAAATGTGTCGTCAGAGAGCACAACTTTTCCTTCACAACAGAATGACCAAATTCATGAGCTAAAATTGAGTTAAAGTGTCTGAAAAAAAAAAAAAAAAAACTAAAGCAAAAGCAAAACGAACTGAAAAAAAAAATAAAGAAATGTGCTGACAACGATACCTTGAAATAACTCAGTAACGACAATGCTAAAACTGTACCCGGAATTTAAGTGAAATTTATCTTAGCCAATACATATTCGTCCGAATTTCTTCATAGTAAGTCTTACAAAGCATATCTTTTCCTGTGACACTTTGACTTCATTCCGGTTGTTTCTTGTGAAGGTGTTAAAAACTCATTCGCAAGGGAAATTGGTAACAGTGTATTTCGATAGGGATGAAAATTAACCCCAAATTGAAGTCTCCGAACTTTTGAAATGGTCACGCCAACGCCACGAAGTGTTGAGGTAAAATTCCAATTCGACTTCTAGTTACGACCCTGTATTGACTAGACGCCTATGACTGATTAACGAAACCGGTTTTGACTTACTCGCATAAAATTTCTAACAAAAAGAATTATTCCTTTTTACTTTGGAATAGCCGCTAAAAAGTACACCTTACCGACAGGTTTAATTTCCTATGCATAGAGAAAGAAAAAGATATGGGAAGAACTTCATTATTTCCCGTCAGACCTTGCCGTTTGAAGAATGGTTGTCCTGAGCAACTGGCCTCTAGCCCAAAGGGAATTCAGAAAGGGACTTATCAGGAAGGGCCTTTGTGAGGCTTCTTTACAAAGGCCTTTATGAAAGATCCCTTTTCCGTTTTTTGGAGGGATGAGGAGGCGTATCTACCCGCTAGTCAATTTATCGATAATTATATAACGAGAAAATAATGTTCTATAATTTTCTTTTGTCAAATACAATATTGTTCTTTCATGTGTATCTGACTTGGCACATTTTGTTGAACTTTACATCCCTCCTTGACGACCAGGATGTTTATTTGCCTTAGGAGATTTTGATATTATGTTGCGGGATTAACCACTATACTAAATATTGGCGCCCCCTTTCACAAAGTAATCATGTGATCGCTAATCTTGCTGAGGGGCTAGTTTTCCGCTGCTTCCGATGGACTTTGCCTTAAAGAGGGGTTTTTTGCCGAAATCAACTGAACAAGACAATAATTGCCGGAAAGCGTTCTTCTCAAAGGAAATATCTTTATTGAAAACTTGCCAAACCTTGTTTCTTCTTTTCTGTTAACTCACATCAGGCCGTTATGGAAAAGTTCTCTCTGTGTTTGTCGATGTTAAAGAAATTTTCCCGTTTTTTTCTTTACATCAAAATGAAGATGGAGTGTAAAGGTGCAATTACTACTTCATTGTAGTAATTTGAATTTGTAATGATCAACAAACCTTTCCAGGTGTTTGCTGACAAAACGATCAGAGTTTGTTTGTTTTTAGAGGAGTGGGTATCTTGACTGGCTAGAGAGGGTTAAACTTTGAAATCTGATTAATGTTTGAACAAGTCCAACCTAAAGTAATTGGGCCTTCTTACAAGAAAGGTCCTACGCAGGATCCAAAATCAAAACCCACACTTGATCACTTGCCATGCATCGTCTCCCTTCAGTGACTTCTTTGTACAATTATCAAGGAGGAGTCAGTGGGGCAGTTCTGGAACTTTCGACAGACGTCCGCCTTCACTGGTCATTCACTGCAATTTTGCATGAACTTATAGCCAATGAGTAGCTACACAAGGGGAAAATATTCACTGTTATCCTCTTTGCAACCATCTTGATGCTTCCTTGTTCTTCCAGGATGCATCTTACACTACCACCAGCGCGGAGCATATTAGTTTTGCCACCTCCGCGCGCGTCATAGTCGACCCACCTAAATATTTGATCTTCCCGTCGAGGTCACGTTTCCCGGCAACATAGCGTGACAGGCTTTGTAGACATTTTCTTTGTTATGAACAGTAATTTGTTTTGATTTGATATGATGGAATGTATACAGGATACACAGGCACACCTGTTATTCTAGTGTTACTTTTACGGAGTCGCACTCCAAAACAGTGGGTGAACAATTTTTGTGAATGCGTCTTTCTTCTAGAGAATGCTCTCCGTCCTTGGTGGTGCCTTCACGCTTTGCCCACAGAGTCTTATGATCTCATAGATTATTTTACCCTG